AGGTGTGCTCGGATTTTGCAATCTGATTAAAATACAGAACTATATTTCGTTCCGGTTTTTTTTAATACTTTCGATGGCCTACACTACATGACGATCTGGCCAGTTGTACTGGGAGGCCGTGTCAGGGGTCATACGAGCGGCTTTTGACCCCATGACGTCAGACATTAATTAATCAATCAGCGTTGACATTTCTAGGGGTTTACCCACAGTTCCGGGCAGAGCGCACCAAGAACTTGCCGTAACAGACCGTTCCATTGGCTAATTCCTCACATCAACTAGAACACCTGTTAAACGGAATTTTGAACTATAAAAAACGAAAGGATTGCGGATTTTGCTCACGTATTCCACTGTGATCATGTGTGCATTTTTCGCGAAAACGACTTTCAAGAACTTGTAACGCATCCCAGCTACCTTTGCTAGCGGGGCTTTGGGGTTGCCATTTGATGTTTTTATGCCAACGTTGGAGAAAGGGTAGATTGTGCTGAGTGACACTCCTGTATGCCAGAAAAACTAAATGAATCTGAAATCCCAGGATCCCGAACAGTGAATTCCGGGAGAACACCTTATTGTGTATCAAAAAGGTTTCATCGATTGCAACAGTAGTCTGGGGGCATTGATTTGTAAGTACTGGTCAGTCCCACTTGTGCGATCAGTGGTTCAGAAAACTTCGACGATATAACTAATTGGACAAGCAAAGTCTACCACGTATTTTGTGTCTACTTGATATTGTGAAGATTAGTAGAAACTAAATTCACATTACCTTATTTAAACGTGTTTTAAAATAAACTTATCTATACTGTTTATTGTTATAACCCATAAATAGAAAGTCGTGATATATATTGCGCATAATCTAATCATATTACTGCATCCATAGAATATCTCATATTAAGTTACTTTCATTGACTAGTACGGTAACCTTTGGACTATAATATATTGTATGAATACGTGTATGTTACTACAGTATTCTTAAAGAGACCATTGCCACAATCCATAACAATCCATCAGATCTGTTTGTCAACTTGAACAGATAGCCTGTTTGTTTCGCGCCGCGGGTAATTATGTGAACGAAATGGTATGGCCATGGGTCCGATTATTATATAAGAAGGAGTGGGGTCGCTTGTTTAACCTCGTGGGTTTACTTCGGGTTTTCTGGTTGACGTTTCCGGGACTTCCCAATCACTCGACGCTAAATACCATCGCATGACAGAAAATATGAAATGAATATTTAGACTAGTTATGCACTCGCTGATTCATGCACTTTCTCGATTTCTATTCGATAGCCTTTACATTAATTTCTTGGTTGATGACATTTTATCAACAGAATGATTTAACGTATCAGTATCTATAAATATTGCCGTTACAGCTGCGATCCACCTTCTCTTGTTTTATTTCGAATTCCAAATGTCAGTTGTTCTTTTGCATTCTCGCAATGTGTACATGACCTCGGTTTTACGTCCCATCCGTACGGCAAATCCACGTCGGAAAATGCCGACATACTTTCTATGCAAACACCGGGGCGAACCCTAGAACCCAAGGTTAACAAGCCAGTGAATTACTCACTGGGCCACCGCGGGTCCATTCCAACAGCCGTGACATTCCAAAGTCTTGAATACATATAATCGAAAGATTATAATCTTTCTACTGTATATATTATTGAGTATCTCTATATTGCTTTAGGTACTTTAATGGAACTTAACCGCTAACTCGTTATTTCCCATAATATTTAAAATTAAACAAACGAATTAGAATTCATAATTGGTCCATTTCAATCAATATCGATGTTGTTATCTTGTCGTGAAATTGTAGGAACCCAATATCCAATATTTAGGGCAGTGAAGATTGTAAAATCACTACATGAGTAGTGTATGCTATGGTTTCAGGTGCCATTTGTAATGAACAAAGAAAAACATACCCTACAAGACAACGTGCAAGTAATTAGTAATGACTGGTTCACAGACGACAAAATAATAATAAAAAATTGTGTAGAAAAGACTAAATAGGCATTCATTTTAAATAATTCACGTATTTCACCGAACATAATTGATTAAAATTACAATCACTTTATACACATATTAAATTTATAATGTGTGCTTTTAGACCCATATTCGCCTATTTTAAGGTTCCAAAGAATAGAGCCATACGCCCTTTAATGTTAATTTATAAGATCGTGAGCACAGGACATAATTGTGTAGCTTCCGTTTGTTTACGACAGGAAAGTGATTGCAGGGAATGCTTTGCATGAGCAAGATGGTTTCTTAGGAGTTAGTTTGATGTTGTTAAAAAACGGGCATTACTATCATCCGGTGTTTGTATACCTTTTTACGCAAGTCGACTTATTTCGAAATTGCGATATGTCGAATTAATTTAAACAGCTCAAATTTGACGGATTGGCATTTAACAGGTAGGACTTGGAATTAAATAAAACACCTCGTAACAACGTGGAATGGCCGATCCTAGCTGCCCGTAAACCTGTGACGATAGACGACTCGGACATATTCTCTCAAAAAATTTCAAATCTTTATCAAATAATTTGAAGTTTTTGACCACTGTCATTTTTCAAATTGATTAAGTAGCTAATCAAACTTTCAACTAGTAGCGGCGGAGTCTGTTTGGTTGCTATCATTTATCTCTGGTCTCTTATTACAATGTCGTGTGTCACTTTACAGCTTGTCTTCAACGGTCAGGATACATAAACAGATTGATGAAGAATAACGACATAGGTATTTCAGAGATTAACTCATGTCAGTTTAGTATATGATAAGTAGTCGCTATAAGTCTCAATTAGTATTTCTTACCGGTGGTCACCTTGTTTTACGATAATTCAATCATATTTTACATGTTTATCAAAGGTCAATATTGGTCGAGATGACAGTCGAAGTATGTTGATTTTTACCGTTATGTAGATGTCAGTTTGTACAGCTGTTTAGATATACATGTACTAGAAGTCTGACATATAAAAATTGATACATTCACTTGTCTTGAGAAATGAATGAGATATTCACAGAGGACACAGAAAGCGAGAAAAATTGAGGAGGGGGGGGGGGGTGTTAGACTATAGTTGGTGTTCGGGGCATTCACTTCCTTCATTTATGCTCCAAGCTGTTCAATAAAGAGAGAAACGGTACACTTTCCAAAAGTATCCAGAATCTCAGTTTTAAGACACACCATGCACCGTCTCCGCAAAAGATGATAATAATAATAATAATAATGTGAGTTTTTGTTGAGCGCTCATTCCATTACGTAAAAGAACAAATCTATGAGTGGGAAGGCAGCTGTTGTCTGGTGTGCCTGTATATTTGCTATAATTAGTGGCAGAGTATGCTGGTTATTACTTACACAGTTTATACTACCTGATTCATATGGAACGTTACAAGTTAAAATAAACCTCTATTTACACTTCCCCTCTGATTCTTTGATTAGATCTTATATATTTTTTATTTTATAAAATGATATCATAAAGTGACGCCTACAATGTGGGCTGCACGCCATTAAATACGTAAATATTTTATCAATGTTAATTTATATCTTCTATTTTCCGTCCCCTAATGTTAATAATATATTACATCAATTCAAACGTAGAAAATGTAAAATCAGGTTTTAGTTGATGAAACAGTTCATGAACTAACCCTAGATTTAAATATCACTGGCATTGTATTGTCAATCGAAATAAAATGAAACGAAAAAGGCTTTAACGTCCATTTTTTTTAAATTCCGATTAGGATAATAAAGATGGACATACGTCATGCAGTGTGCTATAAGGGACATTTTGCCCGGACACCGGCGCTACGACCTACTCTTATTTCAAATTCCAACTGTTATTGGTTCTTTTACGTACACGCCAATGGGAACATTCGACCTCGGTTTTCCATCCCACCCTGACGATCAGACAGTATTCCGACCCCCTCCTCACTTCTCCCAGCGGTGCACCACTGACTAGGGTGAACCACACCAGAAACATCAGATGAATTGCTGTCAATGTCTGAACCCCAGCAGATTTTGAAACACAGACAGATATTTGGTACATTATAGGTTCGCCAAAATTTGTCAACTGTGTAATACAACAAAAGAACAGCGCTGCACAGTTGTTTCTCACGTACTTGTCTTTATAATTCATACATGTATAAATAGAGATTTTTCTTTTTTTCGATCACAATTTATATTTCAAGTTTGTATCATTGCATCTTATCGTTTGTAATATCTGTGTTTTGTCGTACGGTTTTCCTACACTGTCATTTGCATTTGCTGTTAATGTATTATCCCTAAAGAAGAACATTTGCTTTCCGATTTTAAAACTGTTATCCGTGTGTAAGAGCACCACACTTGTCTACCGTTACATGTCACACTTTCACCTTGTGTTCGAACGTGGTATTTTTTGAGAAAAGGGAGAAACTTTACTATTGTCTGAACGCCAATCGTTCTGTTAGGACAAATATTGGTATAAAACTATTTATTTATTGATGCGATGTTGTGTATAGAGTCCACACCTTGTGAGAGCCGGTGTAAAGCCGGCTATGAACAGTGATTAGATTGATATTCATACATTCACCTATTCTCTTGTCATTGTAAGTAAACGCCTGATCGGACTTAATCACTAGAGCCAAGAAAGGGCCTAATCTTCCCAAATATTCCTTCGACAATAGCATGGGGGTGTAAAGTTATCTTTTGAGTGAACGAACCCATTTTCGATTCAAATCCCACTGCTAAATTTACTCACGCGGTTATGAATGGACGACTTGATGTTTCTCTACCTTGTAATACAGGTATGGATCAGACCATTATTTGATTGTGGGGGTGGCAGGTGGTGCATAAAAAACACAAACAAACATTTCAACATGTTTTCAATCTAGGTTGATTTTAAAATTTGATCTAGACTGAGACAGAAGCACATATGTTCATAGATATTTTTTTAAAAATCGGTAGTTTGTTTATCTTTCTATAACTAACAGGCGACAGACTTACCTCTTGTGAAAATGAAGATGGGAACTTAAGTTGTGTTGAAGTTTACTTATGGGAAAGGCATTATGATGGTTAGTTAGATGTACGAGGTGTGCCTATTGGTCTTCATTCATATGACAACAAGCGAGGAAACAATGCTAATCTTCCTTCTCGCATATCTCAGCTGATCAGAGGCAGGTACAACAAACTTTTGATGGTTTCAAGACAAATTGAAATTTACCTGGATTTAACGAACTCAACTGAACAGAAGCACCTGGATCAACATTAGCAAATCGTGTCTTGGCGCTCAAAACTTATATAATAGTAATATCATAATAGATTTTACCATCGTTTCGTTCAGAGAGGGAAGAAAGTTCGTTTTTTATCAATATAGATTTTCAATTTTGAAATTTGTGGTTAGAGTACTGTACTGTGTTTTCCTGTATTACCGGGAATTAGCAGAGCTGAGAGATGATGGGGATTGATTATATTGACAAGTGGATCTATGTGTCTGTGATTGTATTGGCTATTTTGTCAAATGTCCACTGTCAGTCAGGTAAGACTATTTATTTCTATTTAAAACATTAAACTGAATTTTGTTAGTAAACTTTTTTAAAAAAATATTTTTACCGAAATGTCACATGGCTCTAAATAACCTCAGCAACAAAGACATTCAGTAAAAAGATCAAATCGCTCATGTATGACGGTTATACGACTGTATTAGCAATTCGTCGTGCCAGACTACATGTATTTTAGGAAGAAGACTCGGTGCTTTATTTATGTTGATAAATATTCATCTGTTCTGTATACAATGCGAAATAATCTCGATCGTTTCCCGAAGATGATGAGCATTGTGTATGGATTATATCGGTTTTTCACCAATATTTTTATAGGTGGTGGTGTGGGTGGGTGGGGTGGAGGGTATGAGATTGGTTCTTGGTAATCGGGAGGGGGTAGGTGTATGTAACAGCTTACTGACATGTACATTAACGTAATGGTAAATTTTATAAAGTTGCTTTATAATGCATTATAATTAATGTCATGTCGAGCAATAAATGTCTAATATGCATACCATATATGAAATATTACGATGTGGGTGGTATGTATCGTACCAAAAGTTGTATATAAATGTAGATAAAAATACGTACCAACTTACAGTTTTATCATATTATTATCTATATAAATATACATTATTCATTTGTCGCAGGCCATTTGTGTTTATTAAAGGTAAATGCCAACTTCTCAGAAACATAAACCATTACTTCTATATATTGTACTAGTATGATTTATTAATAACACAGTATATTTCCTTATAATAAAACCATAACCACAAAGAAACAAATCATTTTTAATAAATTAGAAGTCTAGTATTATTGGTGATCTTAACATAGAATTCTATTATAATGAGAAATTGACTTCGTATAGATTCATAAACAAAACCTTTTGATTGGATTCCAAATTCAACGAATCACAAAATAATCTTAATTTTGTGTGAAACTTATATTGTTTTTTTTTGTTTTTAATATTTAACGATAATTCATTTTTTAATTTTAACCCAATCTTCAGGACAAGCATTATTTTTTATAGAATAGATAGAATCGTATTAAGATATGTGTTAAGAGATAACAACACTTAGCTTACTAGTACATATTGAATCTTATCATCTACTTGTATAAGTCATGGTAGGATTGTCAACGTATTATAGCCACAGTTTCTTATCTAAACAGGGGTGTCAGACAGGAGCAAACTATTTAATAATTGTTATGTTAACTATTCTTGGTATGCAAAGTTGAAAAGTGTGATGATAGATCAGGAATTATAATAGGCGTATGTTCTTAATAGACTGATTCACTGCATATTACTAAAAAAAATAGGCTATATTGTACCAACCACACGTATATATATTCAAATCACACCCATGCATACACCCCAGTACATGTTTTATATTATCTCAAGAACACCCATTGTCATTCTTACCTCACATTCCCTATCCCTGTTACAAACGCAATTATCATTTATATTCGATTTTTGAACGAAGCACGGTGAAAGATCTGACCACCAGATCACATACATGAAAATATCGGATCATGTTTGTTCGTCAGTTTTAATTGAATCAAAATAGCTATAAAGTTGCTGAGGTTGGTCAACAAGTTCAGCAATCATAACTGACAACTTTTCCAACATTGTTACAATTTACATATATTATATTTATTTTATATATTTTGTAGGCCTACCTATCTATATTTAGTATAAAAGATGCAAAAATAAAACAGTACATTTTGACAAGTATATTTATTTTATATATTTTGTACCTATCTATATTTAGTATAAAAGATGCAAAAATAAAACAGTACATTTTGACAAGTATATGTATATATGTAAATTGTCGAAGCCGGTCTAATATTAAACTGTTATTAGGTCAATTTATATAACCAGAGGCAAAATCAATATACGGTCAATAAGAATGCGACATAGATATGAAAATATTTCTTATGATGTATTACCTTAGATCCACCCTATATATGACTAATTATGGCCAATCATTCAATAATTACTTCATTAACTCCGATTGAAATGTAACTTACAATAAAGTCACTTAATTCAACTGTGATTTATATCAATATTATTCATGTTATAATGTCTAGCTAAGCAATAAATCAAACTGTGAAAATCATTTCTGATTTATGTCTGTCTTACATATTTCATAATTTTGTGTATGTTTAAAACGCCCCACGTTCTGGACATTCCAAAAAAAATGTTATATGCACTTACATCAGGTATTAAAATTGTTTTATGATTTGGGCATATTCTTCTAAGTTATGTATTATAACCATAAAGTTTTATATAACCCACTTAGTACTAAAACTTAATTCTGATTTTATTAGTTTCCCTGACGATAGTGTCCGTATGCCGTTTGGGGGGTGGATGGCTGAATGGTTAGCGTGTGCGCGCTGTATCATAAAGTCTGTCATTGAGTCAGCTGGCGTGGTTTCGAATCCCCGGTTGTGCGTGACAAGGAGTAGGATCGCCTGTCCAACCTCGTGGGTTTTCTCCGGATGCTCCGGTTTCCTCCCAATGCTAAAGACCCCTACGCGCAAGCGAATTATTGAAATAAAATTAAACCATATGTTAGTCCCGAAATGACCTAGTTTGTGTCGAGTGGACGTTAAACACCATTTCTCTCTCTCTCTCTCTCTCTCTCTCTCCCCGTGTGTGGTTTAGTCATAATGAATTACACTCTGGGCTTGGTGACAAGACTTTCTTTTTTTTCTTCCTCGGTTTCTTACTTGGTTTCATATCGACCTCTGCAGCTAATCGAACTGATCTATGGCACTTGGGTTCATGGTTAGAATTTTAAAACAAACGTATAGTAACATAATAGCCATAAAATCAATAAAGGAATTCGCTATTATACGTAAATGGCTGACCATCCTATAAATCCAAATCTTTAGAATATCGATGAAGGGGATCTATTTTCAGCTAGGGTTGAAATAACAGATTCGAACAAATTAAAATTAACAAAAAATACAACATCACTAACCAATAAATTCAAGATCATATACAACATACCTCACCCTTTATACACGGACATTTTGACCCAAGAATAATGACATTCTACATGTCTGACAGGTCAGCGCCCTTGACAACAGGGAAGTTTATTTGTGAAAAATATCTTAATGGTACCTTTGAACAATGGGTATCCTTAATGGATATAAGGATACTATTATTACGATAATGGAAGTGTTTTAAAATGACATCGTTGATCGTGTTGTCTGTACAGGATCTCCTTTAAAATTGTCGAAATAGCTGGCAATGTTTTGGAAGTTGGTTGTTGTCTGATGTCTTGCGTGCACCAGTTACAAAAATCGTTGTCACTATTAACCCAGTAAATATTGACGCGTTTGATTCAAGCGAAGGTAGTTCACCTTATATAATGGTGACAGATATTGATTCACCAAAAATTCAACTAGTTCTACAGACTTGATTTCTTGACTTAGGTACATTCCACTGCCGGTAAAGCCTTATTAGGGAGACTATGGTAAAACAGAAAAGTGTGCTGGCTTTTAATTCTTTTGCAATATTGACTGAATGAACGTCTCAAAAGTACAAGAAAATGTTAACCATGTAAGAACCCTTCCTGAGAAGTGGTATCATATGTTTCAGAAACAGTAAGCATTTGTATTTGAAACTTTAGACCGCCACTACTACATGTATAATGACATATAATCAGAAACAGATGTTGATGCAATAGATATGTATATTATGTAGTGATAGAAGATAAATACATTATAGGTTTATTAACAAGTTGCTGACGACGACTATAAAATGATTTTTGACCGAAAATTTAAGTCATTGTGTTAAATACCCTGGACTTATTTGTTTACGATTTTGACCATGTCTTGGTGTTTTGTTTATGGGACCTATTAAAAGTTTGGGATGGGGTCGAAAACGAAGACAGAAAGAATATTTGATATGCCCCCTCCCCACTCAACCATATATATATATATATATATATATATATATATATATATATAAATATCTATGTGTGTATAACAGTTATTGACCTTACCGTTGATATATCAATACTATTTTCTTTCCCTTAGAAATTCTTTGTTTATGCTCTTGTTTCGCCCGCCATGGGAGTGTTACAAAAATTTCAAAAGTGCATCTGATAACGATGTGAAAATAACAATGTTAAGTACATGTAAGTTACTTATTCACAACGATGCCAGAATTTCTACCACACACATTGATTTACAAACAATTTCCCAACTGCATTTTTCAGCACAAGTGTAAAATTCTATCGGATTTTGTTTTTTCACAGATACATCTTTGAGGATGAGCGGCCGTAAATCATTTTAAATGTTTACAAACACTGTGAGACTAGACTGCGTTATTTAACATAGAGAAACTCCCAAAGAACTTAGAACTTTAGAAAGGTTCGGTTGCAAATATTCGATTTGGTTAAACAATTGCTATATCCGTTTTTTGGGGGGTTTTTTGCAACAATTGAAGCCCATGCGTTTAAAGGAGCTGTCCCATATTTCATAGGCTATAAGTGGGTTTAAATATGCAAATCAAATGCCAAAATATATAGAAGTAGCCTGCGAACCTTGTCTGGTCGCCAACATTGCTTAACGGGGTTAAATAACTTAAATAAGGCGGAGTGGGGACACCGCTCCATACAACTTTGTAATCACCATAAAACTTATATCTCCATAAGTGCATTAGTAAATTGACATTTTAAAATGAATTAATTTATAAATAAAGATGTGAACAATAGATGGTCTATATCCACGTTGATATGTGCTTATATTGTTTTTATAACATTTAATTAACATAATAAAATCAAAATGTCAGTGATAGATAATTACATTGCTTGGATTTATTCGGATAGAAAAGAGGCCCATTAAAGTATTTGAGTGAATCCATGTCCTATATCATCTGTAGAATAATGCCGAATGTTAACAGATTTTCAACTCATCATAGCGTACAGTGGATTAACAATCCCTGAAATGCGGATCAGAGACTTTACGAAATGTCATGTTAATAATT